CCAGGCCCACTGTGCTCTTAATCCGGCCCTGGTTAGGACGACCATACATCCTATCTATAACAGGCTTTAAAGCCTTTAGAGTGCACTGACATGGCCTATAGTTTTGATGCTTACACCAGGGAAGCCCAGGTATTAATCCCTTCTGACAACTGTGTGCTCTAAAATAATCTACACTACTATATTCTACGATACGTTTACTACTATACTCTGCGATTCATTATACTACTATACGCTGCATCACTTTACATCCTGTGATACTCTATACTACAAATCCACAATACAGGGCATTTTGCAATACTATGCTTGAAAGAACCTCCAGAACTGATTAAATAAATAAATAATATATATATATATATATATATATATAAAATAAAATGTTGCATTTGGATTTTCCCATTTAAGGTTTGATAGACTTAATAAGTATACCTAGTTTGTATATAGTATCCCACATGTGGTTAAGGAATAACACTAGAACAAGTAATATGCTAAATTAAATGCATGGTGTCCTTATTGGACATCAGCTTATAATTATGTATCTACGCCTGTTATTCAGCCTCTGTAAATTATTTAATGTTTATTATCGTTTTATATGACCACGACCAGTCTTTCTATTGGTTGACACTGGGCCTCGCTATTTCAGCCTCAAGTACTAATTACATCCCTGCATTCAGCAAAAACAAAAACAAAAAATATATATAGGTGTTCATACCGTTCCAAATAAGCGTGTTTAGTCTCTCTCGGTTAGCATTTGGCCCACGTTCAGCCACAAGACACTTTATTCACGTATCTAAGTTCATCATTTGGTCAGCAATATATATTTTTTCGTTTATATGCAACAATAAGAATTGTAATTAAAGGTTTGTATTTTCTTTTTCAGCTTTGAAAATATAGACTATGATTATCATCTCTCTTCAAAGCTCCCAAAAGCTCTGTGAGTAAGTATGATATATAAATGTTTATATCTAGATATGTAAGTATATTATGTGTGTATAGGTGTATATATATGCGCGCGTGTATTCACACACAGTTTATATTCAGTTTATATTATGTTTACACTATGATTAGTTACACTCAGTTCCTATTACATATGGCAAGGGTAATTTTTAATTACTCTAGACACCTCGTCAATGGCCTATCTTGTGTATCTACAAGCGTTTCGAGCAAATCCGTAAAAGTTTCACCATATACACTTAATACCAGCCTTTCTGGGATCAGTTTAATATTGTAGGTCAACTGTGTCTTTTATTATAAATTGATTGAGTTATCACTAAAGTAATGTAGATTATGCTAACGTAGTGTACCTATAATCTTAATTTTAGTAATGACAGAAGGCAAATATTTTGCATAACTTTCTTTACTGGAAACTTCAGCAGCAAAGATCAATCATAAAGTTTAAACCAATCAGAACAAAAGACACAAGTATGTAACAGGCAGTGTGATCCAGCTTCTTCTTCTTTCTTTGGTGTGAGAAGAACAGTTTAGTAGTCAACACCGAAATAAAGAACATGATCCTTCCCGAAAGATTGAATAGTATGCATGAGTCACTCCAAACAGCCAGAAGACTGATGGTTCATGCTGAAAAGAACAGAAAACAAGTGAAAGACTAGCGTAATGGCGACTTGCCAACATAAACACATACATTGAATATGTATAAATCTATCACGACTAAAAAAAAAAAATCACACAATATTTACTATATAACTAACCCACTCGTAGAATATAACCCAGAATTAGGTAAAGACACAACCACATACAAGAAGAGACAGAGGCAAGAAGGGTGGGAATAGGGTGGTAAAATAGCCTCCTGTCATTACTAAAATTAAGATTATAGGTATAGCATAATAGGTTTTAGCATAATCTACAATTTTACCACATGACAGGAGGCTTCATATTTTACCTTTTTAACGCTAAGTGAGTAAAGTAAAAGAAGCATGAGAAGTAGGTCTAAAGTAAAAAGTTTCATACCATGACCAAATCGGTGCAATGCATAATGTCATAGTTACATAGCTGAAAAGAGACTTGTGTCCATCAAGTTCGTCCTGTCTCACATATGTTGTTGCTGTTGATCCAAAAGAAGGCAAAAAACCTAGTCTGAAGCGCTTCCAATTTTGACACAAACTAGGAAAATATTCCTTCTTGACCCCAAAATAGCAGTCAGATGTCTCCTTGGATCAAGCAGCTATTACCCCACTAATTAGAAATTATATCCCTGTATGTTATGTTTTTGTAAGTATTTATCCAATTGCAGTTTAAACCTCTGTAGTGACTCTGACAAAACCACCTCTTCAGGCAGAGAATTCCATATCCTTATTGTTCTTACTGTAAAAAAACCTTTTCTTTGCCTTAGATGAAATCTCCATTCTTCCAGCCTAAATGTGTGACCTCGTGTCCTATGTATAGCCCTGTTTATGAATAGATTTCCAGATAAAGGTTTGTACTGGCCCCGAATATATTTGTATAAAGTTATCATATCCCCTCTCAGGCGCCGTTTTTTCCAAACTAAACAGATTTAATTTTTTTTACCTTTCTTCATAAGTAAAATGCTACATTCCTTTTATCAATTTTGTAGCTCGTCTCTGGACTTTTTCTAGTGCCATGATATCTTTCTTTAGAACAGGCACCCAAAATTGCACAGCATATTCAAGGTGTGGTCTTGTCAGCCAACAAGGCACCAAACGAGAAGGCTTGTGACGCACCCACCGCTCAGGGGTGGAGGCCAGGGGGAGAGGACATTAGGTCCCCCACTTATTCTAATTTAGGGCCCCCACCCACCGCTCAGGGGTGGGGGCCAAGGGGGAGGACATTCGGTCCCCCCTTATTCTAATTTAGGGCCCCCACCCACCGCTCAGGGGTGGAGGCCAGGGGGGAGGACAATAGGTCCCCCCCATTATTTTACTGTAGTGCCCCCACCTGCCATTCAGGGGTGTGGGCCGGGGTGTCGCTGCTCACTTTATAAAAAAAAAAAAAGGTCCCCCCTTCCGAGCCGCCACCCAAAGGGGTATAGCGAGTAGGGGCATAATTTACTAATACTAAGTAATCTTTACTTAGTATTAGTAAATTTGGCTGAAAGACCAATTTAGGTCTTTCAGTCTTTTAGTAGATAGCTCCCTGATACCTTGGGAATTAGGGAGTTATCTACTTATTCATTCCTGTCATTACATTGACTGGCTAAGTAACTTACATTTTATATGAATGTATGTTACTTGATTGTTGTAAGTGTTGCAAATGCTTACAGCTGAATTCTGGCTATGTTTGTATACTTTTTAGTTAAAATTGTATACAGTGTAACATTGTTCCTTCTTCCACTTGGTAAGTATATTAGTTCTTAGGCAATACTGTGCTTCGGAACTTCGGATCGAAACAAGTTGCACATGTCTATTATCCGGCCAATCCCTCATGAAACGAAGGACCACGTCTTAGAGCCAAGAATATTTCAGAGTGGGTGGAAGTGACAATCGGCTACCACGTAACAGTGGACAGACGAGTGGGTTCTGCCCTACCGGCAAACCGAGCACTGGAACATGTGCGGCAGAAATGGCCGAACGTTAATCCTTAATGGAACAATATGAACTACCTGAAGGTAACTGTGTCTAGTCCCGGGAGCCCATGAGTCCCACAATAGATCTTTAATGGCCTGCGATAGGCCGTCGACATTCCAAGATCCCCTGAAATCATCCAAGCCACTATTTCTAGACGACTCTGTAGGATGAGAGGATGTGGTTCCCCCATGGGGTTAGAGAGTAGAAATGGAAAACTTCAGAAGAAGATGTGGATGGTCATAGGACAGTTCCAACAGGTCCAGGAACCATGATTGGCTTGGCTACAACGTTGCAATCAGTAGCAGTGAGATCCTCAGTACACGCAGTTGGTGTAGACCTCTCACCAAATTGGAGCAAGGTGGGAGTGCATACACCCCTAGAGAAGGCCATTCCTGTAGGGAAGGGACCTCCTATGTATGATTCCTTAACATATTTAAACGCTGTGGTCAGAAGGTCCAGCCATTCATCCTCTCTTCTGCCCGCCATTCGTCCAAGATATCTAGGCCAGCAGCACGGAAGTCATGGTTGTCCCCCGAGGATATCACACGCGGTGGTGGTTCTGACACTGCTAATCGTTTAGAGCGTTCAGCCGTAGTAGTATTCTTGGCCTTAGTGGGCACGGGTGTAACACCTTTCCTGTAGCGTTTGACCATGGTGAATCGTGTTGGAGACATCTGAGCCTACTGTGTCATCACATGGAGGCGGCATGCCCACGGCTTGTAAAGAGAACTCAGGAGGAGGTTGCGTGAGGATTTTTGGAGAGTGCCTTCTCCATTAATGCTGCTACTGCAGCCTGTATCATGGACTGGAAGTCTTGTGGTTGGGTTGGTTAGTCACCCATGTCAGAGTGTAGAGTCCTTCTCATAGTTGTATTAGACAGTCTGCACAAACAGGCACCAGAAAAGTTAAATTGTATACACGGTATACCACCCTCTTTATGCTGTCAATGGTATCATTCGGTGATGGCATAAAGTACATAAAGTAAGCACCTCCATCTGAAATCCTTGATACGGTAGATAGTGTGAACCACCGAGGTATACAGATAAAGGTGCCTTTAATTAATTTTTATTGGGATATTAGCGGCTAATATTTGCAAGAGATTGTAACCCTTAATATGGGGAGATGCTGGTTGTCTCCATTAGTAAAGGGTAATACCTATAGAATACCACAAGGCGCGTGGCCAGGATAGGATATATGGGGGCTCTTGCGAATGAGAGGACCAGAAATTAGAAGCCAGTCTATGTTATCTGACCTGACAGGGAGTTCCCTAGTCAGTACAATCGGGGGTCACCCAGTGTAAAATCAATGTCACCAACCACTGAGACACGATAAGTAGGTATTGCATAGGGTATCGCCGGTCGTTATGAGCGGCCTGTATGTCAGGGGCTGACACCCTGAATTAGGGAGAGGCGCTGAAAACCTCCAGAGGCAACGGGGTACCAAGGTACCAAGGTATGTCGGATCACAGGTGTGGGTAATCCATTGGAGAGGGTTAATGGTACCTATAGTGGGGTGTACCCATATGTGGTTCCTTTCCGTGTGGTGTATGGGGACAAGGGGCTCCTCCCAATAATATTTTAGAGAACACCCCTGTGTGCAGTAGTTCAAATTGCACAATCAGGCTATGCACATTAAATATATATTAAATCCCCACAATTGTAATTGCAGTGAATACAATCATAGATATTTTTAAAATCATAAATTGTAGAAGCACCTGGTGAGCAGGCAGTTGAATTCCATGTAGTCAGAGGTCCTGGACAGTCCGTATGTAGCTCTGTGAAACAGCGAGATGGCTGCCGTGAATCTCTTGGCAAACAAGATCCAAAATGGCCAAGGCACTTGAGGACTGGGTGGGAACAACTCCTGCGGTCTGAGCGAGAGGTGGGAGAGCAGCAAAAAACGACCCCAGCTAACCCTCTGCCCCCTAATCCCGGCCCAGTGTGCAAATGCAGAAGAAAATCGTATCGCGACCGCCAGCGAAATCGCTGGTAGTGGCCCGAGAGGGAGCTAGGCCTAAACCAAAAGGAAGCATCTCCTTTTACAGGATGAATAACAGAGACTGAGTTAAAGTATCTGCAATCATTTGGATACACGCTGCAGTAATCTTACACATACAGATTTGGACAAGCCACAATATCAAGATTCATCAAATCAGCTATACCCAGGACTCAAGAGTGGTGAGATCCATCCTATAGCATCTACATATGGGTGCATGTTTTGGATTTTTTTTTTAGTGTGTACACACTGGGACTGTATATACATTTTTTTAATTTTTTTCTTTTCCTTTTTTTCTTATTTTAATTTTTCCACAATTTTTATGTGCAGACAAGTATTGCTGATTGCAGATAGGGCCTTTACCCATATAACTTTCATTCAAACTATAATACTGGTTATTGAGGTGGCATATCAACTAGGGACTTTCTTTTCTTTTTCTTTGTGTCTAGACATATCACCTAAGGTGTTGCATAGTAGAGTTCTTTTGCCATATGTATATATTTTTACTGAACGTAAGAGATATTGAATCTATGATATAGTTATGTAGTTACGAGTTAAATTTATTAATTATTTTTGCCCTCTTTTCAGGCCCTAACTCATTCGTCAGTTTCAGCACACCTCAACCGACTTGCTACTACTACTATAACTAAGTCCTTATTGTATGCTTTGGCTTTTTGATCCCGGACACAAGTGGAAGGCAGAATGCCTGAAGTTGTGGGAGGGGCTTGTTGCCTGCCGAAATGTACTCCCTCCTCCTAACGTTCGTCCTACGTTTTGGAAACCCTCCCAGCTTATATATATATACTCTAATAGGTGGGCCTTCTTTTCAGGCTCTACCTCATTATTCAGTTTCAGCACACCTCAGCTGAACTACAACTAGGACCGTCCCGTCCATGGCAGCACTCTAACCTGCTGCTAGGGGCAATGGCCGCATTGTTACAATCAGGTCCATTGACTCCAGGCGGCGACCACCTTATTGCATACATATATAGTGAGTATTGTATATATTTATGTGTATGCAATCCTGGGCCCGTTTTACACAATGAAAAGTGGGCCCGAGAATCTGCAGCATTACCACATCTCTTCTCATGAGCTGTGCTATAGCAATGCCCTGGCATGCATTGCATGCCGCAAAGAGTTTTGCCATAGGAACCCACGGCTATGCTGTTGCTGCTTTAGAGAAGAGAGGAGGTAATGCTGCTAGAGATGGAAACAGACCACCATGGAATCCAGTGTCTGCCCTCCCTGACCACACGTAAGAGGCAGGGAGGGGGGAATAAACGTAAACATTTAACAAAAAAAAACGCTCTCACACACACTCAGCACCACAAACACAAATTACATGCACTTCTCACACACATTTTTGGTGGTTGTTGTTTTGGTGAGGGGAGATCAGCATTTTAATTCTTGAACCAAGGCTACACAATGTCTTAGGCCAGCCCAGACTAAAATTACCATAATGCTCCAGCAGTATTATTATCAGTGCATGATGGCAGTTTTAGTTCCACAGCCTCTGGGAAATCTATTTTTGACGCACCCCGTCCAATACTTATTTACGCATTGGTGATTTTTAACTGATTTCAATACTCGTATATCAAGACCATCCTTACAATACCTACCTCCCATCTGGTATCTTTGTTGATGGTAAAATTTCCTTACCTGCCCACCGGTGCTGCTGTAACACAATTTTTTTTTTTAGTGCAAGTACAAATTATGATTGTGCTTAAACATATCTTTTTATTTCTACTTTATGCATGTTTATGTTTTAACTTTAGAAAGTTAAATGTGAAAACAATAAAGTAAATTGAAATTATCTTTAACAGATTAAGGTGATCCTTGAGTCTGATGCGAGACAAAATATTTGATATATTTAATATCTGGTTTGATTTTCGTAAGGCACAAACAAAGGTCGGCACTTTTCTATTCCCCCCCCCCTATTTTTTTGTGTGTGTGAGATATGCTGTATGTTTGAGAGGTGCAGTGTGTGTGTGTGTGTGAAAATGTGTGTGAAGGGGGGTAGTGTATGTGAAGCACCTATGTTGTGTGTGGATGAGTGAGATGTGAGAAAATGTATCTGAATGTCCATGGGGAAAGTATTGGATTGGCTAAAATTGGCAAGGGGGCAGGGTCAAATGCCGTTGCGACCAATCAGCACCTCCTCTTAGAGGAAAATTTAGCGTTCCCATGCAAAACGTGGAGATGCTGAATGACAGTGCTGCCTACTATGCAGCACTGAGCCAGGAAGCACCTCCAGTGGCTATCTGAGGAGTGGCCACTTGGAGGTGTCCCTAGGAGCAATGTAAACACTGCCTTTTCTCTGTATAGGCAGTGTTTGCATGACAATGCCTGCATATAATGTTTATACTCACCAGAACTACATTAAGCTGTAGTTGTTCTGGTGACTATAGCGTCTTTTTAAGAAGAATGTACATTTGGTATATTTCCTGTGCATATCTGGTTACTTTAAACTGAAAGGATATTGAGATACAAATTGGAGATATGACATGATAACACAAACTGAAAATAACAAAATACATCCAGCGCTGGAAAAAGGTAAAATCCAGAGCCGGGCGGGAGGGGGTCCCTGAGGGTGGGGGCACCCTCAGGGCACTATAGTGCCAGGAAAACGAGTATGTTTTCCTGGCACTATAGTGGTCCTTTAAATGCATTATCACAAATATTTCCATACTTTATTTTTTTGATTATAAAAACTGATTTTAAATTTGTTTTCCAGAGCCAAACTCGTGCGTTTTACACAGTGTATTTTAATTATTTGGGGAATCCAGCGTGACTATCCCACACAGAAAATTACTGCCAATTCAATATTTGGTATTATTGTGTATTTTTCTTCTTTTAATGGCTTCTCCATATTTACATTTCAAGAATTCCTGTGTGACAACAACAAAAAAAATAAATACCATCTTTAATTTTCGGTATAATTAGACAGATGGCGTTATATACAAGGGCACATTCAACAACAATAATGAGCTACGTAACAATTATTAAAGAGTTTAAAGATACAAACATCACATTTTCGTCTTCGGTTGTTTAGGACTATAACCGGAGACATGTGAACTGCCAATCAGGACATGACATGATAATTATGAGTCTGCTACTGCTGCTCTTGTATTTTCTTGATGAAAATGGTTTGCAAAAAAAAAAAAAAAAAACTATTGATTTGCTATTTTCTCCCCGTTTCTTTTGCCTGGGAGTCTTTGGACACACATTTAGCATTCAAAGCCGACAGCATTTCCTTGGATGTCACATTGGCTGACTTTATCAAGAGTCTTTCACCATCATCTAAGGAATTAAAAGAAAGAAAGGTTACTTCTGTAAAATGATAAAACACAGCATTTGCAATTATTTTTAAAAATGGAACTGTCATTACTGCCAATCAATTCATTAATAGAAAAAAAATGCAGTTGCATGATCATGAGATTTTTTTTAACATTTTTTTTTTTTTTAAATGTTTGGAACTGTTAAAGGGACACTATAGCCACCAGAACAACTACAGCTTAATGTAGTTGTTCTAGTGAGTATAATTATTCCCTGCAGGCCTTTTGCAATAAACTGACTTTTCAAAGAAAAGAAAGCATTGTGGTTGTCTGAGTCATCACCTCTGACGATGTCAGCCAAGAAGGCAGATCAGGGGTAGAGCCAGCACCAGGAAACTGGAATAAAGGTAAGATTTTATGATATTTACTGGGGCAAAGGGGGCCAGATAGTGTTTTTAACACTACAGGGTTCAGGAATACATGTTTGTGTTCCTGACCCTATAGTGTGCCTTTAATGTATTTTAAATAACACGGTCCATTTAGGTAAATAAAACAAATGTAATTAAAGGGACACTCTAGGTACTATAACCACTTCATCTCATTCAATGTATTGGTTCTAGTGCCTGGTGTTCACTGGTTCCATCCCTCCATTCAATAGTACACATTTTCCAAAGTTTACCTCAGAACCTTTGAGCAGCATTGTTTGTTTTACCACTTCACCCTCCATTCCTTGTCCCTCCCAGCAGTAAATACCTTCAAATAACTATCTCCATTCCTGTTCCTTTGACCAATAGAAACAGAGCCATTTCATGTCCACTAAACACTATCTACCCATATTCCTTCTAAATTAATAGCATACTATTCCAGCTGTTTGACATCACACTCAGTCCCCTCATTCCTTTTACATGTTACCAGTGGATGCAATTATCCTTTCATTCTCTCTGCCGTCAATTTTATATTTACGCTGCTACCTCTGGTCTCAACTCCCCATTTTAAACTCTTCAAGAATGTAAGCTCACAGGCTATCTAGCAAGTATTCGTATAAGAGAACAACAGTGGCTAGATCTCAACTTACGGACCAGAACATCACTGCCTTTTGTATTGGTCTGTCTAAATTTAATGTATTTTCCCCCAATTGTGCAGTGCTGCCAGTAACAATAATGAGCTTCATATTGTCACATGCGAACCACAACACATACATAATAATCACACGTTTACATTTTACAGGGATATAAAAAAAAAAAAAAAATTAAAAAATTCAGACAAATGTTTCATAAATATAGAAAATGCACATATTGCTACATATTCAACTTAATTGTAAAAAAAAAAAATATCACCACATATTCATCCCACATATAAAACTAGTGCATGTGGAAAAGTGTATATGGGAGAGAGCACAGACCTAAAGCTAAATACATCAATGCTTGAGTATCTGAAGAGGAAAACTTACTCAGTTGTGAGTAAAGCATGGACCCCTGAGGTTGCCATTGGCAAAACACTACAATGCAATCTAGCACATCAAAGCCTCCAGTTCCTATGATAGGTCACCATTCAACCTTTCCAAGTTAAATATGTGGAAGTGACCACCATGTGGCTACGGAAAACAGAAAAAACAGTGCAGGCCACAAACACAAGCTAAAGTCTCACGAGAACCATTTTGACCATGCCATGAGAAATGCCGATTTTTGTTTTTTCTGTTTAAAGCCAGATTCCTGTACAAGGAAGAGGAAATGCTTATTTGAAATGCCTGAAGACACCTAGAGACAATTATAGGCAGAGTACAACCCAGGCAAGCTTTAAAAAAAAAAAAAAAAAAGTTTCAGTTAAAATAAAAAACTTTCAATTTAACGTGCCTTTTGTTGTCATATTCAGGTCCTGTAAGAGGCTACATACGCTGAGGGATTTCAACAAATTTTTTAATTTTTTTTTACCAGTATATATATTTTTTTATATACCATTAAAGTATGTTTGTTATTTATTACTTTATATCACATACTTTGTCTGCATTTAATGGTTTACCAATACTTTAGAAAGTTTATTTAGCGATTGTGATGAACTGAAAATGACGGTACTTTTCTTCTTGTCTGCTCTGTAACACTTTGTGTACACGGTTCTGTTTGCTGTTCATTCAAAATGCAGAATTTCATTAAAATTATATTTTAATAACATTTCTAATGCATGCTGCATTTCTGCCCCATATTAACATCCATCGCCTATGCAAAAGTGGCACGTTGGCTCTCTATTGACAAAAACATTCCATCTACAAGTTTCAATACCAAACAACTGGTTAATGATATAAATATTCTTATTTAATATTGACGATTGTGTTTAACACTTTTTTTTTTTTTAGACCTAACTTACAGCTATATAGAGATATGAATACAGATCCAGATAACGTGTGTGGCTCAATCACATGTGTTCAAACAAATTGTCCTGATACAGCGCAAAGGGCAAACTTAGGCAAAAGGCGGAGAGTAATACCATAATATAAAGGATTATTCTACAGCGCTATACTGTACGTATAGCCTTAGTGAATCTACACAGGTCTGGTGCTGTACATTTTTCATCTTTCTAACAGCTCCAAGGATGGAATGTAACCTTATATCTTACCCTACTGCATAATATTAGCCTTGTCAACATTTTCCACAGAGGAGGCAATGACCACAGCTTTACATAGCATTCTAGGACTGAGCAGGTGAGCATAGATTTTCAATGAAACATTACTAACACAATGTACAGATCAAAGGAAAGCTCAGGGTACCATAACAATGTCATTTGAATTAAGTTGTTATGGTGCCAGGAGGTCCTTGGGGTCAGCTTAACTTCAGGGGTTAAACTGTTCAATAACTATTTATGTCCAAAGTTCCATACCCAACTCTTCCCCCGTCCTTCCGCTGTTCAGAATCTTTGTTTGTTTTTTTTTAATTCTTTATATATTCGTGCCTTATTGCGGCTTAGACTCTTGAAAGAACAAGCTTTGGCCAGGAGAGCCACTGAATGGCTGGTAGCATCAGCTTATGCTCTCAGCCAATCAATATCTCCCCATTCACAAAATGGCTTGAGAAAAATCACAATGGATACAGAACTTCTGAAATCTTGAACATTAAATAAAATTAGACTGATGCATTAGATGAATATCAGCCTTTGTTTTCACGTGCCTTAATTTAAAGGAACCCTGTAGTCATCCTGTCCCCTTAGCCCTAAAAAAATAACACCACAGTTTTTGAGAAAGGGCAATGTTCACAATGCAGGACTACGACCACCTCTAGTGGCTGTTAGTATGACATGCACTAGAGGCACTTCAGTTGCTCTGACCAATTAAAACATGTGGCAACCCAATAGGAAAACATTGATATAATGCTTTTCTATGAAGAATTTTCAATGCGGCACTTGCAACAACAGTTCCCAAATACTCTTCTATGAAGAGTATTAGATTGGACCATCGCGGAGGAGGCCTTGTGTGCTACATGAGGTCGCTTGGGGAGGACAGCTAAGCCTCTGTGCTGGAAAAAGGTAAGTAAATCTTAAGTTTATTACATTTTTATTGCATCCGGGGTGGGTGACCTGAAAAGGAGTAGGAACAGGGGAACTACAACATTAGGAATACAGATTTACATTCCTAAAGCTCTAGGGTTCATTTTAGGGATCGACCGATTATCGGTTTTACCGATATAATCGGCCGATATTCGGTATTTTCAGCAATATCGTATCGGCCAATTCAGATACCGATATTGCCGCAGCTCCCCCAGCTCCCCAGTGCAACTGGGGAGCTGGAGGAGCTGCTGGGAGGTGGAGGAGCTGCTGGGAGGTGAGTAAGCGCTTAATGCCGCTCCCCCCAGAGCTCAGCCAATTCCACTGGACCACCAGGGACTGCTATATCCCCCCTCCCTGGCCAGGAAACAAGCAGGGAGGGGGGACAACAACAAAAATAATTAAATCTAAAAAAATAATAATTTAATAAAAAATGCCCCCTCACACACACTCCATTATATACACATACACTACACAAACACACTGTGTATATAATGCAGTGTGTGTGTGTGTGTGTGTGTGTGTGTATACAATGCACACAAATACACACACTGCATTATATACACACACTGCATTATATACACACTACACACAAACACTGCATTATATACACACACTACACACAAACACTGCATTATATACACACACACTGCATATAATGCAGTGTGTTTGTGTAGTGTGTGTATATAATGCAGTGTGTTTGCATAGTTTGTGTATATAATGCAGTGTGTTTGTGTAGTGTGTTTATATAATGCACACTACACAAACACAATGCATTATATACACACACTATACAAACACACACACACACTTTGCATTTAGTATATACAGCATTCACTTTATGCACACTACCAACACACTACACAAACACTCTGCTTTCATTATATACACACTACACTAATACACACTGCATCCACTACACACACTCGACAAATACACACTGCATCCACTACACAAACACACATTGCATCCTCAACACACACACACACAACACAAACACACGCTGCATCCACTACACAAACACACACTGCTCCCCTGTCTAAACACACTGCATCCACTATATGTGGCATGTATATTTTGTGCATTTACCTTTAGAAATAGTTTTTATTTTCCAAAATGGTAAATGTACAGAATATCGGCAAATTATATCGGCTATCGGCCTGAAAGTTCACAGAATATCGGTATCGGCTCTAAAAAATCCAATATCGGTCGATCCCTAGTTAATTTTAACAAACTTTTTCAAAGGAAAGTATTTACCACTTTATTTCTATATATTATAATGCTGTTGCATCACTCCCAGGTTTATTTTATACAGTGAGAATTCAGCGTGAATTTTAAATTTAAATCTGGAAGCATAGTTCAAGAATTGCTCCAGTTTGGCTATTTTGACATTAAAAATTTGAAATTCACTTTGAATTCTCACTTTGGTAACTAAACCTTTCAGTGCTAACATTTTCAGGTTAACGTTTTTCTTTTCTTCAACAATCGTGCGCAATGTACCAGTCTCTTATGGCCTCTAGTGGACTACTGCAGTATTACTTTTTTTTTATATATATATAATTTGCTCATACATAGATAATTGGGTCCCTGTATTCAAAACTTTTTTTTTTTTTTTAATATGGCAATGATAATCACCCATTATGTGAACCCTGTACAGTTTTTTTGTGATCCTTAACCACACATTTACAGCATGGAAGAAGGGGGTGACACATGGACCTTGGGATACATATCCTTCAACATCACTGACTGAGATTTCTGGATTACATATTATGGGCTACTTACCAAACAGAATGTCTACTTGAGGCTCAGATTTATCGTGTCTTGCATCTACAGTCACCTGGCACTTTAGGTTTGTCGTACGAACCTTTTTAAAATTTATAGCTTCCAAGAATTCTCTGCAAGATAAAATAAATAATGTCTACAAACTTATATAGGGGAAATATACAGAAATTAAACAAAACAACTTAAAGTAGATAAAGTCTCATGGGGTTCTATACCTGCAAAAGAAAGGAATCCATTACAGTCAACATTGTCTACAAATCTTTAAGTCACGCACACATAAAAATTTCCACAAATTAACAGCATTTGAATTAAGTTAAAAAAGACTCTAGACACTATAACCACTTCAGCTTACTGACTTGCCTGTGCCCGCACTTTCAATCGTACATTTCACAGATTTGGGGGGAAAACCCCCCACAAAAACAGACAAATATAGAGCTTGAAAGCTCTTTAAAGAGACTATAGTGTTAGGAATACAAATCTGCATTACTAACACTATAGTGCCCTCTGAAAGTCTGAAACGCACCAAAAAAAAAAAAAAAGTCTTAAAAAAAAAAAAAAAAACACTGCACAACACTAGGAAATATAGAGAGAGGGGGAGAAGGTTCTAATTCAGAATGAAGATTAGAGGCAGTACACACCTGAGGGATCTTCTGCAGTACAGGCAGCCTAAGGAAGAGACTTTGATCCCCTCCTAATACTCCTCCTACCCACAGTATACATTGTCACAATGCCCAAACATTTCCAGAAATTACACAAAAAAAGTACTGCAAAATATCAATAAAGAGGGAAACTTGCACTGCCTCTAATCCTACTGAATATTTTTTTACGGCAAGTAAAATTTTGTGTTACCACTGCAGATAGAGGCAGTACACACTCAAGAGATATACATATGTTTACGAATGGTTGGGTCTGGTCTACATTTAACCAGAACCTTACTCCCAAAACATAAAACTTTAGAGGCCTTAACATCCAAATCGGTAATACTTGGTAAATTTGCTAATGGAAGACCAAGTGTCAGCTTTGCAGATTTCTTCTGGAAAGGCCAATGCCTTAGAGGCCCATGAAGTTAAAATAGCAAATGTGCTTGTAGTAACGGAGGAGACTTATTCTTAGTAAGCTAGAGAAATAGCCTATTTGATCCAAATCAACTTTAGTCACGTGGAAGCTATGTTAACCTTTGTTGCTTCCTCTGTAAAGGGCAAATAGAAGGAGCAGATTTACAAAATTTCTTGGTTCTGTCCAAATTATTGAAATATAGCTCTTTACATCGAATGAAGGAAACCTTACTTCTTTGAGTTTTGGATTCTTACATAATGCGTACAAAATTATTTCTTGACTGATGTTATTCAGAGAAGAAATCTGGGGTTTAAAAGATGGGTGTAATCTTAGAATGACTTTGTCAAACTGGAAAACCAGGTAGGGTTCAGTATGAGTAATAGCCTTAAATCCCCCAGTCTTTTGGCTGATGTAATGGTCAACAAAAATATAGTTTTCCATGAATGTAGATATTGCATGATGACATGGACTCACAGGGAGGTTCGCAAAGTGGCGACAGAACTAAATTTACATCCCAGAAGAGAAATGATTTCTCCACTGGTAGGAGCTAGATTGGAATCAACTCTGATGAATCAAGAGATCAGTGGTTGCAATCCCAGATTGCTAACGGAGAAGAACCTAATGCAGAATATTTGAAACTTCATGGATTCAGATCGAGGTCCCTTGAAAAATACCAGTTGAGGAAATTTTACAAAGTTTGGAACAAAAGCTGGAAGCAGAGGGTCTATTTTGTCGGTATGATACACACTTCTTTCAAATCCTCAAACTTTACTTGTGGAATCCTTTTTAGCTTGTACTATAATAGCAATAACATTTGCTTCTAAACCCCTGGAGGAGAGAGAGAATCTGCCATTCATACACCATGCTGTCAATTTAAAGTTCTTCATAGTCTCTAGTGGATGGAGATAATACTCCAGGATGTTCTCCTTAAAAGAAAGTGTCCAGTATTTCCTTTTGAAAGGCACATCAGTTTCGAGAGCCAACTTCTCCTTAATCAAAAAGAAATTCAGAGGATCACTTGAGAATTTTCTTTGATGATTTTGTTTACCACCCATGGGATAAGAACAAATGGAGGGAAAAAAATGTATGAGAAATGGAAATTCAATATCATAGCTAGAGAATCCAGGAAATCTGGCCTATAACTCTTGTTTAACCTCAACCAACCTCAGGTTGAACTCTTTAGCCTGAACGAAAGGCCCTACTGAAGGAAAATGTGTCATCATCCAGCAACTGAAACTTTTGATAGTGCCTTCCCATAAAGACATTCAATGATCCAGTAAACCATCCCATTGGTCCAATTCTGCTAAAATGTCAATCTAGTGCTCTCATCTTGGCTTTGGCCCACTTGACCACTGGAATAGCTGATATTACAGGTCTTTTTATTTCCCCATGAGAATCGAGCTTGCTTTCGTTACTTCCCTACAGGAAGTACAGGCGTTTCATAGAGATGGGATCTAGGCTTAGTCCCAAAAAGCTGAACTATCTGGTTGTGGTCAGTTGAGACTTCTCACAGTTTATGAGCCACCTATGATTTTGCAGGCTGTAAAGGAATAGACGCTTACCAGATCCTTTTTGTTCTCCTTTTTTGGCTGTACCCCCTGTAATAAAACTTCTACCCTTCATGTGTTTTTCTCCTATTATTTTGCGTGGTTCCTCTTTGGCTGTTCGGGAGACTTCATAGAAACCGGAATCCCTTTGTCTCCCAAACGAGGACCACCCCTGTGCCCAATTAGAACGTTGACACCTACCACTATAGTGCAAAACTGCAAGGGAAACAATAAGTGCTTCCCCGGGTGGCCGCCAGTTCGTATGACCGAACACGTGGCCGAGAGCATGGACATATTGTCTCCCGAAGTGGGCAGCCCCAGTTCTCGACCACCTACACGAACAACATTCGGGAGATATGAGCTACCAAACAAGGGCCTTGCTGTGGAGGAGTTCCCATGCTCAGAGCCTCACCCCGGTGAGTGACGTTGCTAGGAACCTAAAAAGTATAGCAGTAAGAAGATGGGGCCGCCAGGGAGAAACAGTTAAAGGAATACACTGGGCACCATGAACACATCTTCACGATTAAGTGGTTACAGTGCTTGGAGCTCACTGGTGACATGTTATCTACCAATGAGTAACCATTTGCGAGCCGTTTAACCTCTTAAGGACCAAACTTCTGGAAAAAAAAGGAATCATGACATGTCACACGTCATGTGTCCTTAAGGGGTTAACAGGCACCTTTTACACTCTCAGTCGGTGCTCAGCAAAAGTGGGCGCAATCGCTCAAGCAGCAAAGGGACAGCACCATGTCAGCTGACCCTATCCTCCGCCTGACAGTGTAGATAAAGAATACGCGCACTTACCTCGTAAAAAAAACGTACTATACTATGATTATAAAAAAAAATCTACTACGATTACTCGCAACGGGTGACCAGTGCTAGGCGGACAACGTCAGCTGACATTATCGCTGCTGCTGTGGTACACGTTGGCATTTCAGAGGCGAGATGATGGGCAACCCGGGTACATTACGACTTGTGCAACGCTGGAAGGTAAGAAGACGACAGGGACTCCAGGTACCATAACAACTGCATTGAGGTGAAGTGGTTATGGTGCCTAAAGTATTCCTTTAGGCAGTATGTCGCCCAGGCGGGCATATCACCCTGTGCAGTGTTTTCAGACAGTGGAGAGACCCTACAAGTGGCAGTGCCGCTTTACACAGAGTCCCCATGCCTTGAATGACCTTAAAGGGAAGGCTGAGGACAGGAGCAAGGCTTTCCACTAGCTCTATGTGGGTATCCGGGCACTATGGAGGCGGCTATCATCACACTGGCAGGGACTCACCTCGCAGATCTCACGTTGGACTCGAAGGGACAAAAGCGGATAGCGATGGACTTCACTGACTTCAGCACCAACGTGGACTTCCCGGAGGCAGCCATTACTCGGCAAGCGCTGCTGGCGCAACCAGCCAATCACAGAAAAGGTACCTCTTCTCCCGTCAACCTCCTCGCCAGCGTGTGACAGGTCGCCGCGCAAAGCATCCCGGGAGTTGTAGTTTGTAAAGTAGCACATGCCCACTCTGTGTTCTATTAGCCCTTGTCATGCTGCTTCATGATTTATTTCTTGTTATTAAAGGAATGAGAACTTTAGATGCTGGCAGAGTGATGGAAGAGAGACCATGCCAGACCAGGGGTTCAGAATCTTAATAATTCACCTGGACGGTGTGTGCTGCATTAGCTTGGAGTGCTTTATTTAATGGGAGAGGTCAAGTTCACTCTACAAGTGTAATAGAATAATAAAATACCTTAATCAGTACATGGACCAAGTGAGATCTTTGCAAAAATTGGTTATGAGTTGCTAGTTTGTTTTTTGTTTTTTTGTTCTTTAGTTGTCACAAGATTTGTTTTTATTAAGTTGCATTCCTTCATGGATGTACATATACTGTGAATATGGAACTACTGAATGAATGCCTAAACCAGGGAGGTTTTTGTATAATTGTTGATGGTAAAATTTTCCACGAGTGCCGCAGTAACTAATTTAATAGCGCAAGTGAGATTTTCAATTTTTTTAAGAAAGGAGGGTTTTAAAAAAAATAAAAAAAATATATATATATATATAAATATATATGGGACCAGTCAATGCAAAAAACCTCGCTGCAAACTGTGTCAGCACATATGCACAGACAACACAGCCACACACAACAATAAAACCTACAGCATTAAAGGTTCATACTCCTGCACATCCAGCAATGTGGTATACATGATTCAATGCATAAAATGCCACCTAGGATGCTACATTGGGGAAACCACCCAGCCATTAAATGGCAGAATGAATATGCACAGACACTCTATTAAACACCACAAAGAAGAATCATACTGCACTCCTGTGGGACACCACTTTACCCAGCCTGGCCACTCACTGAAGGACCTAAAAATCAAAGTACTGAAAGGGGGTTTTAAAAATACCCAGGAAAGAAAAGCCTTTGAAGCCAGAATGATTAAATGGTTTAACAGCAAGAAGAGAGGACTTAATATTGATTTGGGATTCCTGTCCCACTACCAACACTTTACATGAACACTCTCCCAGCATTATCTTACTATTCTGTCATATGTACCAACACTTTAAAATGCATTCCTATATGTTTATTCTATCTATATACAAAGTACTATGTGTAGACATATGCTTTCCCATACTCGTATGCATGAATGCTTATATATATTACTGTGCATTTATATTTGTGTATATGAGTCCATGTGCATGTATGTATATGTGTTTATGTATATATACATGTGTTTATGAGTTCACATATACATATTTCTGTGTGTGTGCATGTATAAAGTGTATCATCCTGTGCACTGTCTGCTTGTTTGTTTTTCTTTTCCCTCTCTCCCCCCTACTCTTCTCTTCAACAAGATATTTATGACCCTCTGCTAAGATGGTGTCTATTTTCTAACAAACCTGTGTCTTATCTACACTCGTGTCGCTTTAACCCCTGTATCACAACTCACCTTTGAATTCTATGTGTCGTTTTGCTCAGAAATGCTTCAGACTTGAGAAAGGGAGGTTCTCCCGAAAGCTTGTCATTAAAAAATTCTGTTAGTCCAATAAAAAAGGTATTACAAGATAAGAATTTTATCTGTTTTTTACATCTACATCACTGGACTAATACGGCTACAATCTCTACTTGAACACTATATATATATATATATATATATATATATATATATAAAAAGGAAAATCAGATAGCACTCTCAGGACTATAGAAAAAATAAATAAAACTTAACTTATAATTAGCTTATACAAAAAAATCGACGTTTCAGTCTGTTAACCACAGACTTTCATCAGGATTCTGTGGTTAACAGACTGAAACGTCGATTTTTTTTTGTATAAGCTAATTATAAGTTAAGTTTTATTTATTTTTTCTATAGTCCTGAGAGTGCTATCTGATTTTCCTTTTTGTATTTTGCTGGACAAGCACCAGGCACTTACATTTTTTGATATATGGAGTGCAGGATTATTTCTTTTGTTTTATATATATATATATATATATATATATATATATATATATACTTAAATGTATCAATTTTTTTCTGTTTTCTATTCTACTCTTTATGAGTCTGTGAGGTGCTGTATGTGTGTTTGTGTGTAATGGGTGCTGTGTGTGTGTGAGTGGTGATGTGTGTGGGGGGTACAGTGTGTGTCAGGGGTGCAGTGTGTGTCAGGGGAACTCTGTGTGAGTGAGGGGTGTAGTGTGTGTGAGGGGACAGTCTGAGTGTGTGAGGGGTGTAGTGCGTGTGAATGGTGCACAGGGTGAGATGTGAAATCTTAATGTCTCCCCCTCCTTTCTTCTTACCGTTTACCATAACTGCAAGCGCTGGCGGTCCAGTGGTGGAATGTTCACTTTAGCCTGCAGCTGACTCTCCTGTCCTCCTGCGAGCACAGCACTGTATCGGAGCGTTGCCATTGTAATGCTCAGACCAACCTGCTCGCGGGAGGAACACAGGGCCTCCCAGGCCCTTCCCTCCCTCAGCTGGAACTAAGTGCCAGCCGACCGATGAGGGAGATCTTTGAGTTCCTCACCAGCCTGAGAGAGCTTACAGCAAGGCTGGCTCTGCATGGGCCGGCAGGGGAGATGGAAGGATCTCCCCTGCCGGCCTTGGTCCACGGCCATCGAGACCAACCAGGCGTTTTCTTGCAAAACCCACCACCGCCCACCTGAAATCCCAAACCGCCCACTAGTGGGCAGTAGAGACCATGTTTACTACCCCTGGCCTAAGCAATACATGCATGCATGTGCACCATGGCAACTCTCTGTAGATGCTTGGGTGGGACTGAGAACACCGTAAGCATCCTTGTGCACTAAAGGTGCCATGAACACAGAGGTATATGGTGGTTTTTTTTTCTCATCTCCTCTGAAAAACCTCACCTGGTATACTGGTATTGCATTTATTAGGGTAAGGGAACCAGTAATAGTCAATTCACGGTTAAAGGAACACTCCCAGTCATGTAACAACATCTGCTCAGGGAAGTTGTTATGAGGGCAGGAATGTATAATTTGCACTTGGTTAAAGCAGATCTGTCATATTTTGCAAAGTGACAATGACAGGTACAGTTAGGGTGGTTGCAGGATGCAAGGGTTTTACTTACCTTAAGATGTCCCTCATCATCTTCCTGGTGGTCTTTGAGCTTTTATTCTAAAGTGCTCTCAATGGTGTTAATGACTGTAGTGTGAATAAAGTTTTTGTCCTGCCTCTTCTCTTGAGCATGGAGCTGAGAAGCATCGTACACGTGTGTGATATTGTTTCTTTGCCATTATATATAATACTTTTTCTATACCTGGTTAGCCTGCCATTACATTGCATTAGGCAACAGGTTATGGGCCCAGTGATGCAGGAAACCGTTGGAGTAGACTTTTGCTTTAATGTAGATAGAAAAAGAACTGCACACTATAGAGGGCAAAGTTATTCGGACTGTCAGACATCTAGAGCAATGTTTGTATATTTCCTGAAAAATATGAGTGATGTTATTTTAGCCACTGTAAAGTTAATTGCTGACGCAACCCCATATGGAAACATAAAATATATACAATCTCGCAGTGGTACTGAGTTCATGGCTGAGAGTTTTCAGTCAATACTAAACAAGCAAGGTATTACACATGAGGCCCAGCATCTTACTCACCCCATCAGAATGGAACTGCTGAGAAAAATGGCAAGACGTCTGTTGATCAAAAGTAAGTTGCCAAAGGTGTTATGGACATAATGACTGCTACTCAAGGACTAAACAGGTACTTTACCAACCATCTAGTACAAACGACATTATCTGTTAACGGTAAAAATCCTTAACCCCTCTATAATTAAATAGAATGCTCAGAGAATGTTCAAGTTCCTGAAGGGGAATCTTTAAGGAGTGAAGACAATGGTCAGACAAAGAACATGTATTGTCCACATTACAGTAGTCTGTATGTCTCTGTATGACTGTGTCTGTATGTCACTGATTGGGTCTGTATGTTCCTGTATGTGTAACAAACTTACCTGCTCCTCGCACCCTCACTACTCCCCTCGTCTGGGTGCTCCAAGCCGCTACGTGACCTTAAATATAAACATAGAATGTGATGGCAGATAAGAACCATTCGGCCCACCTAGTCTGCCCAAGCAAGTCTATATACTTACCATCATGCACCTGCAAACCACTCTTCCCCCAGGTTAGTGCGGGCCTAATAGAACATAAAGACTGCTTCCCTGTACTCCCTCGGACACTGCCCGTTTTAATGGCATGTCCTTTTATAATTTGAATTTTTATGACTGTGTGTCTGTATATCTTTGTGACTGTGACTGTATATCTTTGTGATCTTTGTGCCTAAATAACTATGTCTGTGTGCATGTATGGTTGTGTGCCTCCATGTTTGTGTTTTTGTTTATGTGTGTAATTTTACGTTTATATCTCTGCCTATATGTCCTGGGAGGAAAGAGACACACAAAGGGACTGAGGAGGAGGGAAATGCAAAATGGGATGAGGGGAGAAAGAACCACACAAAGGGGCTAGGGGAAGAAAGATGTACACAAGGGAGGTTGTTAGAGACACACAAGAGGGTATAAGACACACACAAGGGCAAAAGTATTAAGACATTAAAAAATGGGGATACGAAATAAAAATGAGGTAAGAAATTCAAAAGTGGCGTTATGAAGATGCATTTTTTTTTTAATGGGGTAGGGGCAGAAAATGCATTGTCCACATGTAGCCAAAAATGCCTGCACCAGCCCTGTTTATGGTGTTGAGATATTATTCTAAGGAGCTTTCATTGGTGTTAATATAATTATAGACACACAACATTAGTCCTTTCAGCTAAGCAAAACTGCGAAGGGATGCTACAAGAATTGATTATTTCTGTTAACTGCAATATATGACATATTCCAGCAGATGGCAATAGTCAATACCAAATAATGTATGCCACACTAATTTATATCTCTATATATATGTTTGAAATATTAAATATGTATCCACAACTGGATTTC